TGCAGCCTTAGGAGACAGTTTTTTCCAGGGTTTCAGTGTATGACAGAGAAGCAACAATCAGCCACCAGCATTGTCCATGAATGTCCAATATGAGAGTCCCTCATTACTGGAAAATAGTCTGTCAGTCCATGCCAAAACAGAAAACATCTGCGGGCATTAGCCAAAACAAAACAGCAAATATATCAAAATTATAGGAAGAAAAAAAAATCTTAAAACTTAATTTAACTTATCTTAGAACAAGTTCTCTCCACCTTGATCCCAATTTTATCCAATAGTAGAGCAAAATATCTGCAAATTAAATCTACTTTCAGACCATTTTACCTATTTTTGCATAAAATCACAGGGCAGAATAACCAAACAGCAATTTTAGCTGGCTTTGTTGGAATACTCCACATAGGATCAGAGTGAGCTCTTGACATCCAGACTGTGCAGGCTTCAGGAACAAGGTCAATCTCACCAGACTCCACCTGGGGTTTCCTCTTCTTGAGGTTACCAGGGCTCTTTTTTTCCCCAGATTATCCAGTCCTGCCAATGGAGGCAAGAGCTTCCTCACCTTCTTTGGAGGCCTGGAAACCTAGTAGCAGGTTCTCCTCTTCTTGGTCAGCTCAAATTTAACTTCTTGAAAGAATTTTAATCAAAGCCATACAGTAAAATCACCAGTATTATTTTAAGCAAAACTTTAAAAAATCAGGTTTATCTCCAACAGTCAATTGAGTCCTTTGTAGGAAATTTTCACAGTCAAAAGTTTCATCAATTCTAATCAGTTGAGGTCTTTTTCTAGAGACAATTTCTTTTAGAAACAATTTCTCCAGAAATTAAACCATTGAACTATAGAATATTGTAGGACAATTAAAGTTGACAATTTGCATACTTAGCAGGTACTGAAAGGTTTTATACAAGTTTCAGAAAACCAATGTTAACATTTGTGTAATGCCTAAGTTTTACTTTTTTTTTTTTCCAAGTGACAATGCTTCCCTTTCAGTTTTACAACAGGTTAACCAAAGAGGACAAATTAATCTAATGCCTTTCCCAGGAAGAAAGGGAGAAATTTTATGGAGTGTCTCAGGAGCTTTACTGAGGTTCCACAAAATTTCCTCCAATCAACCAAATGACAGACTACCAAATTTTTCTTTAATTTAGATTTCTGGGACGCTTCGTCATAAATACCAGAAAACAGTAGCAACAACAATATTTAATCTTTATGAAAACTCCGGCTCAGTTCAGTAATATAATGTTGACAGTCAAACGATAATCTTTAGTTTTTCCTCTTAATTGGAGACTCTTTTTTTTTTTGTCCTCAAAACCTTAAATTTTCCAAACTCCCATTTTCCTGACACTTAAAAGACATTATGTACCCAACATCAATAACCCAGACAAGAGATAAAATTATACCCAATATATCCTTATAAATACATGTTTCAAAACAACCCATTAGATTACAAGTTAGTCTCTATTAACCAAAATTATCCCAGATCATATTTCCTCAAAACACTTGTACCAGTTTCCACTACTTTTTTTTTCTCACCATGTCTGTAGGTACAATCTATACTAATTTTACAGCCTCTAGAGGCCAAGAAATGCACAAGAAAAGGACATATAACTATACACCAAGTAGACACAGACAGTTTTCTTAGTTATGCTACGTGGAATATCTTATGTAACTGCAGTTTTACTCCATAGGCTCAGAAAAACTCAGACTCCAAAAAAAAAAGTGGAGTGTTGCTGGCAGCTCTCACAGGTTCCAGTTGTTATCCTATAAAACTAAGGCTTTGGAAAGAGGAAAAAAAAGTTCTATTGATTGCAAAAGAGTTGTTACAGGGCAGGGAGAGGGGCAGCCCAGACCCCGCAAACCTGCCTGCTCTAAATAGGTTCTGCCATCTGCCGCATCAACACAAAACATGAGACTTTAATGGGAAGGAACTTTAATACAATTAGGAAACAATACAGGAAAGGCAAAGAATTTAGTTTCTAAATCAAGCACCCAAAGTTACCCATCCCCTCATGGGTAAAAGTCCACCCAGGAAGGATTGGCCCAGAACAAGGCCCCAAAGCCCATCACAAGTCTGAAGCATTTTCCAGTGGGGACCCACAGAAAAGGATCAGAAATAAGCAGACAAGCCTCAAAGGAAAAGAGCAAAATCAACATCAAGACAAAAACTGCCATTGTCACCTCCCCATGGGTCTCTCACCCACATCTGTGTCAACCAGTCCACGAACAAAAGGCAAGCGCAGTTTCTTCACGTGTCTCTCTGCTCCATGTGCCTCCTGGTGGTCTCCGTCTGGCTCCATCCTGCTTCCTTCCTTCCTCAGTCTTCTCTGCAGCTTCTTCTCACCCTGTTCAGTTCCACCCTCCTTTTGGATGGGGCAGGGAACCTGGAACCTCCCCCTTTCCTGGGGACTGCACTGTTACAGAGTTACAAGGCCTTATTTATCACTTCAAGTTTTTTAGTGTTCAAGCCTTTATATTAGAAGTAAATCTTGGGGTATCCTGTAGAGCAGCTGAACGAGGAAAAGCAACAGTTAACTGTTAAGAAAACAGAAGTCACCTTCTGTTAGCCACCAAGCTTGTAATCCTTGGACTTCCTAGAACAGAACCTGAAAGAGCTAAATCAAAATATCAGCAGTTAACTTTCAATTAAAAGGAGTCATCTTATTACTTGTGTTAGTCACTCTAGGACAGAAGCTCAAACAGCAGATTCCATATCACAGCACAGATTACACCTCCCCCCACACTAGGGAGAAACAGCATAATACAGGTACAACAACCTGGTACAATGAAATCATGCACTATATAGAGTGTTTTCCACAATGGACCTTCCTCAGCAGGAAGGAGCATATTATCATCTAGTATTTCATCGGCAATCAAACAAATCCAGAATTCAAATGGCAAACATGCCCAAAACAAATTGTGTACACAAAATTCCCAGCACCAAATCCTTCAGACTCAAAGAAAAATTTTTTTTTTTAATTTTTTAATCCAGACTTTGCAAAAATTCTAGTTATCTCCAAGAATCCATGAAGGCTACCAATAATTACCAGTTACTGCTTAAGGTTTCTTTTTCCTTTGCACCCAGGCATATATTTGCTAATTTAAACACCACTGCTCCATTGTTGGCTTGCAAAACCCTCCGGCAGAGATCAAGAAGGAGTCAAAGTCAAAACCAAAGTGAAAGTAACATATTACTGGAGAACCATTATTGCCTTAGCAATGCTAATGCCCTGAAACTCGCAGAGATCACAAACAAGTGTCCAAAGTTCTAGCAACTTAACTTTAACTAACAAAAGATGCCACAAACAGAAAGCAAAAATCTTAGGAGAATCCAAAACAATAAAACCTTCTAAGTTTCAAAGAAGTGAGCCTAGTGGCCTCAGATGCCATCTTTGATCTGGCCACATGGTCCAATTTACTGCTATCTTTTGAGTAAAACGGCTACACAGAACAATTTCCACAAAATCAAACCTTTTATCAAGTGACTACAAGCAAATTGCACCCATACACGCAGAGTTTCCACAAGCTCAAGCCAGATTTTTTTTCTTTAATAGCAAGTCTACACACATTTGAAACACACTAGAGACACAAAAACCACATTTGAGCTTATGGTAGCCACTGCCACAGAGAGTCTACCTTTCCCCATGGGTTGAATAACCACTGATGGCTCTAACCCTTTGTGGATGCCAAATCTGTTACAGGGCAGGGAGCGGGGCACCCAGAAACCCCAAGCCTACCCACTCTAAATAAGTTCTAAATAAGTTCTGCCATCCACCGCATCAGGACAAAGCAGGTAAGACCTTTAATGGAAAGGAACTTTAATACAATTAGTGAACAATACAGAAAAGACAAAGAATATAGTTTCTAAATTAAGCATCCAAGGTTACCTAACTCCTTGCGGTTGAACGTCCAGCCAAACAAGATTGGCTCAAAGCAAGACCCGAAAGCCTGCCACAAGCCTAAAGCACCATCCAGCAGGGACCCAAAGAAAAGTCTGGGAGGAAAAGAGCAAAATCAAAACCAAGAGAAAAGCTGCCATTGTTAACGTCCCCACAGGTCTCTCAACCACATCTGTTTCAGCAGGTCCAGAACCAGGAAGCTATCACAGTTTCTTCACATGTCTCTCTGCTCCATGTACCTTCTCTCAGTCTCCCTCTGGCTCTGCATCCTGCTTCCTTCCTTCCCCAGACTCCTCTCCAGCTTCTTCTCCTACCTGCTCAGCTCCGCCCTCCTTTGGGTGGGGCAGGGAACCTGGAACCTTCCCTTTTCCTGGAGACCACCCTGTTACTAACCCATCTTTTTTTCCCATTGATGATATATACCACAGATTGGTAGATGAGGCCCAAATCTGGCCCATTGCCTATATTTGTAAACAACGGTTTATCAGAATTACCAAGTCATTCATTTCTCTACTGTTTGCTTTAATGCTACAAAACAGCAGTTGGGTGGTCATGACTGGGATATATGTCCTGCAACATCTAGAACATTTTCTTTACAGAGAAGAATTTACCAACCACTTGCTGTATAATACACCATCAATGACAAACATATCATTAATGATACTAGAGCCCTTCATAGCAATCACATAAACCAAGGACACATACATACATTTCTTTACTAGAAAATCTTTTAAGATTTATTTTTATTTATTCATGCCTATGAGAACTAGGGGTGCAGGCCAGAGGTGTGGGAGTATGTGTGAGAGCATTCACCAGAGACAGAGTGGGAAGCAGAACAGGCATCTACTGAAATACACTGCTGAGGGGAGCAGCGGGCGAGACAGGAGAGGTCTGCTGCGCCATGTGGGAAGCTCTCTGATGGGGTATGGAACTCATGTTGCAGTGGCCAGAGATAGTTTGATAGAGCTGAGATTTAAGCCCTTGCACCACCAGGGAGACACTTTAGACCAAAATCTTATCTCCAAAAAATATAAGAAAATTGTCTTCAAATCCAGTATTTTCGTGCTCGAGAGACTTAAAAAGAAACAGACACACATATTCAAAAAGTGTTCTTTTATTATTTCTAGTAACATATATTGTATAAATACTCTATTTTTATATGCCCTTTTACAAAAGCGATATAACTTAAAAGTTTTATCATTAGAAAGAAATGTATAAAAATAAATATGTTATTATAGGCATTTATTACAAACTATCGTCCTTCTCAGAAGGAACACACAAACCAATACTTATAAAGTACATAGAATTTATAGTAACATATTTTACTATATACATATGGAAAAAGTCATATTCTCTCTCATGATAGAAGAGCTGAACAGACATTCACCAGGATATGACTGTTGGACCAGCTGCTGGGGATGGACCTGCTACCCCTCAGTAGCCTCCCCACCTCGAGACAAGTGATGCCAATGTCCCCCAACACGAGGGACCCTGTTCTCCACACCCCATCTTTGTTCTGGCATTACATCCTATGTGTGTGATTGTACTTTCTTGAGACACAAATAGTTTTCTCTCAGTCCAAGTTCTTACAGGAGGCTTACATTAGGAGCAAAGAAAGGCGGGAGGTACCCAGTTCATCATTCCTTGTCTAGTTTTTAACCAGCATCTGATACATCACTCTGTTTACCTCTTGGGAGACTTCATGGACTTTTACAAATACATGAAGTAGCAAGTTTGTCAAAATTTACAAAGACACATCATGGCATAGGAAGGTAAAGATGGAGCCCTTTGATGTGTCTCTCAAGCTGGCTGATCTTGAATTCTTAAAAAGTGACACCCCAGCGGCCACCAACAGCGCTGGTCAAGAATCCTAGTTATACCCCTATCTTGCTCCATTGTTTGTGAGGTAAAGTAAGCCTCCTTTTCAACTTCAGAAAGTCCTCTTTCTGCTGCTTTCCATTGCCCCACCCTCGTGATACAAAGTAATAAATCAGTACCAGGAAACAGGTTGTAGTACTTCTTAATCTTATTTTGACAATTGATTCTATTTTTTTTTGTTTGTTTAAAATTGTCATAGATGTAATAAAAGGAAGAGTAATAATGCCTGGGGCTTTATTATGCTATATCATTGCTCAGAGATTAATAATCATCCTTAACTACCCTATCACATTTGTAACTGGGAGGATATTCTGATGACCTAACTGCTTTTCTACCTACCTCTACGCTCCCAACTCACCCACACTCCTTGATCACTGGCAAGGTACTCAGGATCCCTCCAGCCCTGTTGATTTCAGTGCACCAGCCCTCCCACCTTCACCTGGGTCTCCACCCGACATGGCTTAGCTGCATTCTGCCAGGGTGCAAAAGTCTATGTAATGCTTAGGTTTTTTCAAAGGATCGCAACTCTCATTAGACAACACTCCCCCATCATGGGACAGACACTTCAAGGTTCTCTTCTTGTAACCCTTCCCACAAGTCTTGGAGCACGGTGACCAGTCTCCCAGCTGCCAGCGGGGACAAGGCAGGTCGGCACAGGGGCGCATGCTGGCCGGCTTCACCTCCTTTGCACACTCGGAAGCCGGCTGCCCATGAAGATCACGGCACTCCACCACTCTCCTCTGCCAGCCCAGGCCGCACGACTTGGAACACTCGCCCCAGTCCTCGATGACCCATTCAGAGAACGTAGGGATGGCGTTGAAAGACTCCTTCTTCTTCTTCACAAAGTAGGTGTATTTAATCTTCGGCCGGATGGCTTTGCCCACGGTGAGGACCTGGATGGTCAAGGGCTCTTTGAGAGGGCTGAAGCTGCGAATTCTTTCCAAGGCTGCGGAGGAGCCGCTGTACCTCAGGACGCTGCCTTTGTGCGTAATGTCTTGCTCTAAGGTGGACAAGGTGAAGTTGCCGTTCAGGATGTAACTGCCATTGGCGGCTTTGATGGCGAGAAAGCTTCCATTGTTTCTGGATCCTTTTGGATTCCGCTGTTTCACCTCAATGTTTGTGGCTCCCGTGGGAATTGTGACAACATCATGATATCCAGGTCTGCAGACAGGAACAAATAGAATAATCTCTCACTCACCGTTTGATTGTAATATGTAAATGGAAAACATGGTCATCACTTAGAATGTAATTTTTACCAGCCCTGTGGAACGTTATGTCTAAAGGATCATGTATTTGGGAATATGACTTACTTGGCACTAGTCACTGATCCTGTTATTTTTTTGCACGTAGATCCATTTCCTCCACAAATGCCACATTTATCGAACTTCTTATTGGAGTCTATGATGCGATCACAACCGGCTTTTACACACTGTCCTTGCACGCAGACAGAAGTGGAATCTGGGCTGCAAGGGGTACCATCAACCACCTAAAAGAAGAAAAATGTGTTTCTAGTATATCTGGGGTGACAACCAGCAAGGAAAGAGGTAATGGGTAAAATCATGAGCGTTTTCCCATTATTCTTACATCTCTTGCTTTTCTAATGATTGCAATTAAACAGTCCTCTATGCATAACACACACTACTTTACCCTTTGAAGAATTTTTGACATTTGTTTATAAACCTAGCTCACTTGTAGTTAGGGCAATGAAAGCAGAGCTTTTGACAATTTGGCAGTCTGTTTATTGCTAGGTCCTTCATGCCTCGTAGCTGGCAAAAGTTGGTGCATAAGAATCACTAGTTGGATGTGAAATCTGTAACTGGGGAGTATTTTCATAGCTACAAGCTGCTAATAATGACACATGATAATCTTAACCAAACTCGATTCCATTTTCTAACTCCAAGCCAGATTTATCCCCTCAGCAACACGAGGTTTCTACTGTAGGTTCTCAAATATGAGAGTCATCAATACTCAAGACTCCCATTTGAATAAGTCCATTTGCACATGTTATTGCTGGTCTCCCAGGAACAACTACTCTGGACCATGCCCAAGCTATTTTGCAAAACCACTGCCACGTTAATTTATCTGAGCATGAGTAAAAGAACTTTTCTTTGCATATAATTGCAGTAACAATAATAAATAACTGCAAGGGTCATTAAGGACTGCATTCAAGCTTCATTTTTTATCTGCAATACCACATACAAAGCAGGCAGTTACCCATGTATCCAGAAAGAAAGGAGTTTGCATTTGAAATTGAGGCTGTCAATAAACTAAAGAAAGTGCATTAAAGATGTTCTGAAAAGGGAGCAAGGCAATGCTTTGGTTCAAAGGAAAGAATTAAATACAACCACAACTACCTTGGGCTGCAAAACGAAGAAGTAGCCAATGCCTTTGGCTTGACAGATGAGCTTGCACCTGTCCTTTGGTGAGACTCCAGCATACTTGGGTGTCCACTGGACCGCCAGCCCACTCCCGAAGGAAGCTTTGGAGAAGTCGTTATGTGCCTCACATTGCTCCTCTCTGAAGGTTTTTCCTGGGAAGAGACCATATGATAACATTATCTGATTTGAAACCTCCGCTTGGTGGAGACATTGGTGGACACACCTTTCTGCGTCTCCCATTTCTACTCACCAGTAGTGTATGGACAGTCCTCCGTGTTACACGACCTGTAGCGCATGCGCTTCCCCACACAGTACTTCCCTCCGTTCTTGGGAACTGGGTTGTCACATTCCCTCACAGTGTATTGAACTCCGCCACCACAGGTCCTGGAACAGTCTCCCCAGGGTCCCCATGGCCCCCAGCTTCCATGAACAGGAGTCTAAATAGAGACATAAATCATCAGTGTTAGACTCGTCTACAGAGGACGTTTAGGAAATTAAAGAGAAAAAACAAGGGACAAAGAATCAATTGTGAAAATATCTAAGATTCCTGCCAGAGGACACAGAAATGGGTGCTTACTATCTTTTAGCATATTCTGTTCCTTTCCATTCTGATTTTTTTTAAAGATTTATTTATTTAAGCATATTCGTGCTGGGGTAGAGGCCAGAGGTGTGGGGGGTGAGAGGATTCAACAGAGAAAAAGTGGGGAGCAGACCAGGCAGATCTACTGAAATACACTGCTGAGGGGAGCAGTGGGTGAGACAGGAGAGATCTGCTGTGCCATGAGGGTAGCTCCCTGGCAGGGGATTGAACTCATGTTTCAGAGCCTGTGCTGAGACTTACCCCCTTATGCCACCAGGGAAGCCCCATTCTGAGTTTTAAAGGAGGGGTGTGTATGCATGTGTGGCAGTAGAAAAACTCACATCAAAATGCTTCTCGTTGGTCTTGTTCACACACTTGCTGTTGACACACCATTTCCCTTCTCCACAGCTGGTGCCATCCGCCCAGGGGAAGTGTTTAGTTTGGCACACCATCAGCCCGCCAGAGGTGCCAGTACACCATAGCGTCGAACATGTGCTGGCTGCATCTGGGCAGTGTTTGGAATCCTCCCCAAAAGTAAACTGGCACTGTCGGTTGGCATCATACAAGGTCCCGGGTAGATCGGAGGGAAGCTTTATGGGGCTATGGGGCTTATCCAGCAAACATTCCCCTGCCAAGAAAAATGTCAACCAGTATTAATGAAGGGCAAATGAAAGCATGTAGAGGGTAGATCAGTGTCAGAAAATAATTATTCTAAGAGGTAATATACAGCAAGGTGATTTGAAAGCTGCAGAATTGTTGGGAGAAATGCTAGGAAGATTTAGATGAAGATGTTATCCACGGTGAGGTGTTTCTGTAATAACAATGGCAGGAAATTACTATTCTGCACAAAATTTAATTGAATGTGCTTTGGGCTGGTAGCACTGTCTTTTATTGGCCTTACGGTCTCAAATGCATGATCGAGAACATAGGAGTTATTTTGAAGGAGGGAAAATAAAAAGAACCAAAAAGAAATGGCTGGGTTAACAAGAAACTGCCATGAGGCAGCTTGGATGCCATTAAGAAAAAGTAGCTGCAGCATCTTACCGTGACCGTTATCCAGAAATGACGTAATCATGTAGGCACTGCACGGAGACCAAGGCTGGCTGCGGTCCAGATTGGCGAGCATGGAAGCCATCATGTGGGAATCCTGGGTCACACCATTGATATTGGCACATTGCTTGGCATCATCGTGTGGCATGTTAAACACATGGCCTAAGAAGCAATCAGATACCCACATTAAGCTACAGGTTCTTTGAATTTCTCTTTTCCAACAGGGATTCGTTGGTTCAAAAGTGGTACTTATAGAGGAAGAAATGTATTTAGACCATTTATTGGGAAGACAATGTAGACAATGTCTGCATCTCACAGGGTCTAAACAAACATCTCAATTGACAAATGTCCATAAGCTCCTACTATCTTAGTTTGGATTCTAACAAAGATGACCATGTTTGGAAGAGTGGAAATATATATTCTGTAGTTTCAGGAAGCCCTGGCCCCTAAAGTAGCAATAGAACCTGCAGACTCTCATTCCCAAATTAATATTATTTATTACATCAAATTCATGCATTGGGTTGAATTTTTACTCTGAAAGGAACTTACCTAATTCATGAGCGGTGGTGAAGGCAGCTTGTAAGCCATCATCTTCAATGACTGAGCAGCTTCTGCTGGGTTCACACATAGTTCCAACATCAGCCATTCCAAGAGTATCACAAGTATGGGCCCCACATAAGTCCTGAAAGGAGTTAAGATATGCCTCATGAATAGGGAAATGACATGAACCTTGGGTCCTAACTTTTTGGCAGGATGGCAGATGCATGTTTTGGTGCATCTATGTTCAATTTTTTTGAGCTGTTCTTTTGGAAATATTTCATGGGGCTCTAGCTAAGATTTTTCTAATGCTATTCAAATAGGACTGTCAACTCTGAACACTCATAATAATTGACCATGCTAGTCAATGAGAAATATGTAAGTGCAAAATGCCCTATATTGGATCTTCCCTGTATTGTTGTGTTTGTTCCTCAGGCAGATAGATGGTAGTCTTCCTCTCACCTGTCTGGTGAAAAGAATAGCTGTGTCATAGTGCTCTGCATCCCGGTCACTGGGTGTGTTGTGCTGCTTTTGCCAGTTGCAAAAGTTCCGTAATGTGAGGGCAGCATTGGAAGTCACTTCTGGCCCCTTTCGCTCCTCGTAGATGACCAGGATCTTTACTACCACCAGGCTAACTGAATTCCGAATGCTCGGGTGCTTGTACAGCCTGGCCGCCACCGAGAACAAGGTGAGTAGGTAGTGCTTTAGGCCGCTGCCATGGAATTCAGCCATGGACTGGTCTGCCACTAGCATGGTTTCCACATAGCGGGGGCTGGATATAAATCGCTTCTTTCTTACATTTCCAGTTCCTGTAAAGAAACAAGAAAGACAGTGTGTTCAGGGTCAGGCTAGCCAAGATGAGTTGCTATCCTTGATCTTTAAGGAGAGTCTAACCACACAAAGCAAATGAAGGCAAAATGCCTGAACACCACTCATAAAAACATTTGCATCTCTCTTCGCTGAAAATATTATTTTAAGATAAAAATGTCATGTGCGCCTCTCAGGCCAGTCCATACCCCTTTCTTTTTCTTTTTCAGTAGAATTTCTTTTATCCTCTTTGAAATTCTACTATCTGAGCCAGGCAGTGTGCACAAAGTCCCACCCAGTTGTAGTGAAAATGTGGAGCAAGGGCTGCGGGCAGTGCACCCTGAGTCAGCTTTCACAGGCCAGACACTCAAATCCTGAATGAGATCATCGGGCTCCACGTGGAAGGCCTAGGGCAGGGCTGGGGCCTCTGCCAAGGGGCCGGCCTGAAGGAATCTCAGCCTGCACAGCTCCGCTCTCTCATTCCAGGGGTCCCTGGGGTGCAATGTGCTGCTCCTGCCAGCGGCTCCTGCCAAATCCGGGCACAAGGACCACCCACTCTGCCCTGCTGCCTAATGCCCTACTCCTATTGCCTCGGGGGAAATAAATCCTCGCCTAGTGCTGATTGCTTAGTAAAGAGCCCTCCCCCGCCTGGCAGAAACCCGGCCCTAAACCGGGCTGTGCCCACCTAACTCTTACAAGTTACTGATACACAGGGGGCAAGAGAGAAGCAATCTAAAACGAAGCGCGTTCAAATTAAAGAAGAAAAAAAGGCACCAGCGCGGTAGAATGAAAGGCAGGCAGAGGAAGGCTCAGCACCAAGCACCAGCGGTGACTAACTTGCAACTACGCTGGAGAGCGGACTATGGCCGCGAGAGGGAGCGCAAAGCCGGAGGCCGGGGGGCAAGGCTTGGAGGCGGGGCGAGCTGGGCCAAGACCTCCCAAGCAGGTTCTGCAGAGGGGCCCCGCCGCCGCCAGTGGGCCGGAGTCAGCCACTCCGAGGGTGGAAGGGGACAGGGGCCATTGGAAGAGGTAGCGGCGCGGGCAGTCCAGGCTCGAGCGTTGCGCATTCCCAGGTCTCCAGCGCTCCCTGCGCGCCAGCTCCGCCCTCCTGTGCACAGCGCTTACAAAACTCAGCGCAAAGTTGCCACCCGAGCAAAGCGCACAGGCGCACTGGTTAAAAGAGAAATGAACAGGATGGACAGAAGTTGCACACGCTCACACTCGATAAGGTGGAAGGAGTTGGGGGAACTAACGCGCCCTTCCCGGTCGAAACGTTTCTCCTTAGTCAGCAGAAAATCGTGGACTTTTCTGTCCTCTTTCAATCATTCATCACTTGGGCCACCGAAAATTGTGCTCTGGCCGGATCTGATCAACTCCCCAGCCCCAACCTCATGCCACATTCCTGCACCCCAGATCTCCGTCCTGCCCGCCAACAGCAATCAAGCACAAGTCACGCGGCACAGAGAAAAGTGGGGTGAAGGGGATGGATGGAGAGAAAAGTGAGAGCAAGAGCAGCTCTTCGGGGGCTGATACCTGTCGGCTGTCCGGGGCGCGTCGACGCCCGGCCCTGCGGTGGCCACTGTGCCTCTGCGTCCTCGCCCTCCGGTCCAGGGGCCTCCGCGGGCTCGGACTCTTGGTCCACGACCCCGCACTTGGCGCCGCCGCCCCGTCGCCTGCGTCGCAGGAGGTGGAACTGGGAGCGCGCGGGCGGCTCCTCCCCGGCGGCCGGGGCGAGGCGCGCGGTGCCCACGGCGGGCGCGGGCTGGATGAAGTATTCCTCTCCCTGCAGGTAGAAGACGCCGCGCACGCCCTCGCACAGACTGAGAGCCGCGGTGGAGCTGGGGTCGCCGTGCACCTTCCCGGAAAAGAAGCAGTTGGCCAGGTCGCCGGTGGGATCTGCGAGCTGGGCGTCGGGCCCCGGTCTGCGCCCCACGGTCTGGAACGTGAAGCCGGGCGCCAGGAAGCTGCGATCTGGGTGCAGCTCCAGGTTCAGCTGCCGGCCGAAGGCGTCCAGGCGGAGGCGCGTGGTCCCGGGTTCCGCCGCGCGCTCCAGAGTGGGCAGCACCAACTCCTCGTCCACCTCCGCGGGGCGCCCGCGCACGCCCGGCACGGCCAGCAGCGCCACGGCCGCCGCGAGCAGCAGCAACGCGGGCGCAGACCCTGAGCCGCGACCCCGCCGCGCCGGCTCCGCGGTTCCCATGTCGCCCACCGGCGCGCGCCTTCGGAACCCCGAGGGGACCGCGCTCCACGCCGAGCCCGGAGAGGCGAAGCGCGCCGCGGCGCTCCCGGCAGGAGAGCTATTGTTTGGATCGGGAGCGCAGCGCCGTGCAATCCTCGCTCTGGATTGCTGCAGTTAATAATTACTATTATTCTTGCAAAACGCTCTCGGAGCCGGCCGCAGAAGGGGCTCCCGGAGTCAGCCGCTCGGGAGGACGCGCGGCAGCTCTGCCCGTGCGCGGGAAGTTTTTCTTCCAGCGCAGAGTGGGAGGCACCGCTGAGCCCGGCGGCTGCAGGGACCAGAAGCGCCCTGGAGACCCTCTGCAGTGGGGGTCCTGGAGCTCCCCTCCGGCCTCGGCCGTGACCGCCGTGCAGCTCGCTCTGCGCAGGGCTCAGTTAGCTCGGTCCCGCCGCGCGCCCTGGCTTCGAAAAGGACCCTGGCTCGGAGCCGCTTTCCAGCGAGTGCAAGGAGCGGGTAGCCGGGGCAGCCCTTTTATAGTCTACAGAATGCGCTGCCCCCCTCCCTCCTCCCTCGTGGCCGCCTTTCGAACCTCAAGACACCGCCCCTTTAAAACACGCTCCGGACCGCCCGGCGGGGGAGGGGGGCGGGCTCCGCTGGCGCCTCGCCAGCCGCTCGGCAATCTGGGGGCGGAAGGCGCAGGAGGGGCGCTGTGACCAGCACTTTGTACGTCTGGGGCCGCGGCGGGAAGAAGGTTCTCTCTTCCCGGACCACCCTCCCTTCCCGCCGCCCCGCTGGTGCCAGCGCGCAGCTCGCGCGCGGAGCTGCAGTACCCCAGAGGGGCCGTCGGGCGCAGAGCAGAGTCCCTTTTCCAGGGTTGCCTGTCCCGGAGCTGGCCCGGCGTCGCCTACCCCTCTCATAGTCCACCCACCCTGGGCGCCCCGTGCTCCCCAATCTGAAACGTGAGCCAGAGCGGTCTTTAAGCGCAAACGCCCCATCCCACCGCCCCATCTGCTGCGCCTGCTAGGACCGGTGCTGCTTTCTCTCTTCGCCCCGACTTTTCTCGGGGCGAGTGGGGTTGACCCAGCGACTCCTCTAGAGAAAGCCTGTCTGGGAGGGGATCAGGAGGCACTTCCAAGGCTCTTGATTTGAAAATGCGTTGGCAGGGATGCTTTGGCCTGGCCGCTGCCCCTTCCAGCACCAGCGCCCACCCCGCCCTGGAGACGCTTCTGCGGGGACCCGGCTCGCACTCCCGGAGAGGGTGCTCCGGAGCGCGGCTCCCTTCCCTAGAGTCTCGCGGGGGAACTGCGCTTTCTGTTCGCTCCAGAAAGAATCAGCGCCCGCCCAACCTCCTTCCACCGAATAGCAGCTGCAGGACGTAGGCCAGGCGGGCCGGAATGTCTAGGCACCCCACTTTCCGTGCCGAGGCCAGCCGGATCGCTGGAACTAGAAAGTGTGCAGAGGAGAGACGAGCAAGTCTGCGCCTTTCTCGATCCCTCTGCTCCCTCCCCACCAGGAAGAGAAAGTATTTCCCTGGCTTGGGCAGGCGACAGTGCTGTGCCTGGGCCACCTCTAGGTCCCTAGGAAAAAGCCGAGCAGCACTTCCATCGAGGAGGAGGGAGGGGCTCAATGACCCGGAGGAAGGAAATGTTTCTTAATGCTGCTGCTTCCATGGGCGGAAAACCGCCCGGACAATGGTGAGAACTTCCGCCCAGAGCCCGGGCAGACCCGCGGCCCGAAGCCCGCCCCCACTGCTGTCTGGCCGCCCCCCCCCCCCGCCCCCCCGCCTCGGTTGTCACCAGGGTTTATCTCTGCTCTTCACTCTTTCCTCCTGCTTCGTTCTGCCCCAGCCTGGAGCGACCTCTCCAGTCCTCAGACGCTCCCCTTCTTGCCACCTTTTGCTGGATGAGACTTGCCAATTCCCCTTTTCTTTCAGAGGGGAGAGCTTACTTGAACTGCAGAAAACACCCCAAAACCTTGCTTGCCACTCGCTGGGAAAGCTGCAGTGAGACAGAATGGCACCGAGAGGGGGAGGAAAATGAAAAAGGAAAGTCCCCCCTCCTTGACTGGGCTTAGTGAGGACCCCCCTCCTGGCCCGCACACTCTCAGGAGTGTGTGCATTTTGGATGCCAGGGGATGGTGCTGCCTGTGCTACCTGGGAATTAGGGATATTTTTAACAGCTGAGGGGACCCCAATGACCAGCTTTTCCTCTTTGCTTTACTCCTCCACTTTCCCATAAATATTTTGACCCAGTGTTTGCTCTTTCTCCTTTCTCCAGGCCTCTCCTTCGTAGGGCGCTCATCCAGCCCCATGTCTCCTGCAAATTTGTCTTTGATCTATACCCCACCCGTGGGCCCAGTCACTTCAACACTGACCCGCCTGACTGTTTATCTCTGTGGCATTCCCCAAACAGCCCTGCTCCTCAGCCTGGTTTATGTATATTTTTTAAATTTCACTTTTCATTGAGGTAAGCGTTGCTTGACAACGCTGCATGTGATTCAGAGGTACAGAATCACACCTCCTTAGATGTAAGTCACCTCACCACGCCCTCCACCTGGGCACCCAGCCTCCTCCACCACAATGCATGTGTCACAGTTGGTTTTTAATGTGTTATATATATATATTTTGATTTCACATCATTTTTTCCCAGCTTGGGGCAGCAGGGGAGAATAGGTAATTGGCAGAACATTTGGAGAAAAGTCATTTTACAATAGAAGATATTGACTATGGAGTCATGAAAACTCGTCACAAATTCAACAATAAATTGTCAAACTTCTTGCTTAGAAGAGGGTTCTGGCAACAGCATTGCTGACCAGTAATGGGGTCCACAGACTGGTTTTGATTGAGAGATTTCATTCAGGGAAGGCCTCCCAGGGCCTGAGAAGCTCACCAGCTCAGTGAGGGGAAACATGGTTCCCTTGAATTGGGAAGAGATAGGAAATTCAGAAGACCAGAAGAATATGTATAATTTTCTACAAAACTGTTTAGTGCATCCTAATTTGTTAGCGCCCCTACATCAACTTCAACTTTCAAAATATATTAATTCAAGTTGAGGCTTTCATCCATTTCTGCCTCTAGTGAGTTCTTGTTGAAAGTTGGTTTAAATTCAAGGAACACATTTTTAATCTTGAAATGACTTACTTCAGCTCCATTATAACTTGTGCATATTGCATGTTGTGTATCTACATAGAGCTGAAAAAAAAAAAAAACAACCAACAGTTGCTAGAGGCATGTGGATGGCCTGTTTTATTCACTGGGGTTTTCTCCAAATTTCTGTTCTTATGCATAATGACTCCAATCTGTTGTGCACCTGTAGTTCTGGGAAATGATTCTTTTATAATCACTTCAACAGAGGCATGGATGTAAGAGTTGCCAATTACTAAGCTTGAAAAACTCCATCCATGCTCAGAAGAACATTTTAATCTACTTACTTTTTTTTAAAAAGATCAGCACTTTTGGGGCTTTTGTGGAATTACACAAATTTGTACCTTTAATGTATATATATATATATATATATATATATTTATAAACAGATTTGGGAATTGAAAAAGTGTTTTACTGTAGAAATAAGAGCCAAGGAATGAACTTTGTAGACACACTAGTAGAAGGGACATGTAAGGTGGAACTGGGTAAGTTTCAAACTCCCACACTTTATAAAATGTTTGTTTAGATTTGAAGGTGCATTCAAAAAGATCGCCCGTGGTCTTAACCCTTACCATAGTTCTGATTTTCTTTTCATAGAATACATGGGTGATTATGTAAACAGAAATCTTGATATGTTCTAATTTATAGACCATAACCAATTTTTATATTTGTAGAGACGAATGAAGTTAAACTATTTGATCTAAAAGATTTTTAGGATTAGCAGTTTGCTATTTTAAAAACATTCTTAGCTTTTATAACACTGATAAAAGGAAAAAGTTTCATACATTTTAAACTAAAAAAAAGACAACTGTTAATTTTTTTATACTTTATTTGTTTCATTTGTTCATATAGATATAATATTCACAGTTCTCAATAAAATTATTTAAAATTAACTATTTAACAAGCATCCAGAAAATGAGCAAATCTGGTCACAAATATCAGCTATTAATGTTGTTTTAGTGTAAATACTATCTACAGAAATGATTAATGCACGTATTTCATAAACATGTAATGCTATTTCTTCAGTTTTTTCATACCATAGAATTAGAAGTGGGAAAGTTGTTTGGTATTACTGCTTCACTTGAGAACAAATGGTCTAAAATAATATTTGCACAAATGGATATTTTAGTTGGTCATAAATGAGAAAATAGAAAACATTTATTTTAAGCAGCTTGAACATGCAGGTATATAAAAATTCTGAAAACAGAAATATTATAAATTGTATCTGGATGCCATAAATTGCTGTGACCCCAAATTCAGGCGCTTGCAAGAACTGAGGAGAGTATAATCTCTCCAATCACTGTCCCTGTTTGACAGATAAGGAATTGAGACTCAAGGAGTTAAGTGGCTTGGTCTGAGGTTGTAGCCAAAATGACTTGAATAGTAATTTTTAATCAAATTCCAAGATCCTTTTGGAATTTTAACTATCTAATTTTTTGATAGGTAGATATGTTGTTAGACTTGTTACTGCTGTTGTTCTCCATAATTAAATGTCATTTAAATTATAAACAGGAATTTTTCTGGCAACAAGACTTTCCACCTTAAAAAATTCACAACCTCCACAACCTCTTCTTCAATCCACCAGGTGGCGCCGGTCTCCAACAAATGTTATTTCAGTTCAGTTTTTCGTAGTAATTTAAGTGAAGAATTTGCAAAGGATTTCCACCTTTTCAGTCATATTTAATAAATTTTTACCAAAATTTCTCTTGACCTTAGATATATTTAATATACTGTAGCTTTAAATATATTTACAGTCTTAATAATAAAATGCCTTAGTTTTAATTATGCTAGTTTTAATTATGCAGCTCTACTAGTTTAAACCAAAAACCAATTAAAATTTAAAAAAAAAACACAAAACACCTACCTCTGATGAGATAATATTATGGGTCATTTTCATTTGTCAGCGTTATGCAGTTCAGTAAAGATTATGAACATTGTGATTCAGTAATTAAATGTTCATTTGTTCAACAGATCATATTAAGTACCAACAGTATGTTCAGTGTACAATTTTACTTGATATCAATGCTAAATTTAATATTGACTACTGGTGCTGAGCTAAACTTGTATTTTTGGTTTAGATATTTTTCTTAGCAACAAAAAAAGAAAGTACAAAAAAAAAAGGGGGGCAGAACAAAAATGTTCTACCACCAGGTGGTGACAAAAGATAAAATTTAAAATCACTCCTTGCGGGCAACGTCATGCAAATGTTTGACTTCTCTTAATACAAATGACTTACAAATGTCCCATGAATTTAAAATCATATTCCTGGAACGTCTTAGTACTTACAATGAATCTTTTTTTTTTTTTTAAGATTTATTTATTTATTTATACAAGCACTGGGTACAGTCAGAAGCACGGGAGGGTGAGAGAATTCACCAGAGCCAGAGCGGGGAGCAGAGCAGGCAGAAGGACCAAAGCACACTGCTGAGGGGAGCAGCGGGTGGCAGGAGGGGTCTGCGCGCCATGTGGGACCCTCCTCCAGTGGCCGGGGATCGAACCGGTGGTGCAGAGGCTGCGGGCAGCTTCGCAACCCAGCGCTCAACCGCTGCGCCACTGGGGAGGCCCAATGAATCATTTTTAACACAAAATCCCCATCTTAATAATGTCTAGCACTGAAAATGGACAATTTTAGTAAGTAGGAGACTAAGAAACATTAAACTATTTAAAAATCTCCCCCATCCATTTTGCAATTTATTGATTAGCTGATTGAGCTCAAGACTGAGGCTTCCCCTCAGCCCCAATCAACTGTTTAAGCAAAAACTGAAAATCAATTGTCCAAAGATTTTGGATGTGACTTTTGCCAATGATAAATACCACCATTTGATTATTTCTAAGTTTCCTTCTTACAAGTAC